AAAATATTTTTTTAAAGCAACTTTTTTTTTCAAAACTCAAGTTTATAATACCTTTTATTATTAAAATTTCAGATATTAATAAATATACTATAGAAGATTTTATTAAAGTTATAAGTAAAAATAATATAAACTAAATTACTTTTTTTATTTAACCTAATAAAAAAAATATATCAAAAATAGAGCAAAGATAATGATGAACTAAAAAGTGAAAAACTTGTATTTTCTTTACTTCTAAATTACAAGTTTCAAGAGTTATATATACAACTATTTCTATAGAATATTTAGATATATCACTAGAAGAAGTTGCAATTATATATAGTATAACTGAATGGAAAAATTATAAAGATGCATTTATTAATGTAAGTATATATTATTTATAATTTTAATAATAAAATTTAAGATTTAGTATTCAATCAATAGTGCAGATATCTTTTTTAGTATACAAATCTTAAAGTTATATACATATGTTATGTAGCTTTATCTAAGTATTACTATTAAAACGGTCAAAGTATTACACTTATCAAATTAAAAAGATGAGACATTTCTGCACAAAAATTAAGAACTCACTTTGAATTCTGAAGAATTAAAAGAATCTTCACAATCTTAAATCTACCTTTCCTTCATTCTAAACTTAATGTGAAATTTAACTTAACTTATGCTTAAACAACTTATCAAACTCAAGATACTACTGACAGTCTCATATAATCTATCCCAATATAAAGGATGACAATCTGGATCCTAATAATAGGAAAGGAATTAAAAGATATATTAGAGCTTCTTCATCCCTTCTATCAGGCAGTGTTGATACTTTTAGATGAATCATTACTTTTCTATAAGTATTTACGATTAATCTACTAAGGCCATTTTGCATATCTATATTAACGTATTATAATTAAAGAATTAAAATAATATTAGTATATTACTGGACCTATATTTTATAAACAAAACCTTTTCTGCTCTTCTTGATCTATTAATGAAGCTCAAAGTTTTCAACGAAAAGGATCACAAAGTTGATTGCAGATCAGTAAAGGTTTCTTATTATATGAATAATATAGAGATATTGTTTAAACCAAAATTTGTTAAAACATTTTTGAATGTTGGCTCAAAAATAAAAATAAGGATAATGTATTAACAAACAAATTATCCATTTACTTTCAGATCCTGAATAGAGATCCATTGTTGTAGATAAAAGTCAATGTTTCTTATTTCTTAATATATTGCTTCAATAGTAACAGATTAACTTGCATTCTAAGTTGTGAGTATCCTATGCAAATGTGTCTACTTTATAGTGAAGTATACAATTAATCTTATAAAATTCAATTTTTGAACAAATGATAATTTGTTTTGTGAAAAAAAATAAATAAAAAAAAACAAAAAATAATTTTAACAATTCCCAACATAAAAAATGCTAGAATTTCATGAAATATATATTTATAGATTAGAAAAATCAATCAATCAAAAATTATTTTAGTTTTGTTACGGTTATTAGCTGAAAAAATTTTTTTAATTCTCACGTAACATTTGATTTTCACATAACTTTTTCCCTGTTGTAAATTTTTCTTATTATTAAACTATAGGTAAAGTAGTATACTATTCGTATGCTTTCTAAAAAGGCCTTTAAATGAATAAAAGCAAAAAGAAAAGAAAGACAAAAGAAATAAAGGAATCATTAAGTCAGCATGATAAAAATGATAAGTAATGTTAGTAGTGAAGCTATACTGAATAGACATGGCTTATACTTAAAGTTGATTATAAACACTCTTACTTGAGTTTATCTTTCTTATTTTAAAGGATACTGTAGATATCATAAATGAAGTTAATATAATGATGAAGCTAAATCACATAATTTACTTAACGAGTGTGTATAATTAATCCTTTCTTCCCTTTCTTTTAGCAGTTTGCATTTCACAACTAGAATATCATATAGATTTGCAGAACAATGTGATAATGAAATAATAACTGCAGCTCTAATAGTAGCAAAAAGAGTTGCAACAGTAACAACTACTCATCAATAATTTGGAATAGGTTAAGATCTCCTAAGATCAACGTATATAAGTCTTGAAAAGGTAGAATATATGAATCCTAAATAAGCTTTATGAATGTAAACTTTAGCATCAATAATGTATTGGTACTCCTAACTTCTTGTTAAAATTATAGTAAGGGAAAGTAAGATTTCTCAGAAAAGTAACAGAAATCTTTGTCAGGCATTTCATATTAAAAGTCGTATTAAAGACCTAAATAATCAATACTATAATAAAAAATTATAATTAATGATATAATAAATTAATAAAATACATATTA